TTAGATACGTGGTAAGGTTTTTTTTTTTTTTTTTCTCAGACTTGCTTCATTATTCTTGAAAATTCACGAAAACTGAAACGAACGTCGGTAGACGTAAAATGGCGGAAATCAGTGCCCCGAGTAGAGGCAAATGAACTTTGCTCATGAAAAGCGCAAAAGAAAGCAAGCCCATATCAATTCGATAGATTTTTATGGGAGGGATTGAGGTATGGCTTAAGTTCAAAATGGGACCGTTTCATTAAATTTTGACATCACGGAACGCTTTTAAAAATCACCAATATTTCAAAATCCAAATATCGCATTTTGTACCAAATTTTCAATTATCCTTTTCACAATGCAGTATAGCTCAGAATCGGTTCAAGTTAAGCCCATGATAAGTGGAAATAGTGTTGTTTTCGAGGATATAAAAATTAATTTGGGAATTTTCATTTCCGCACGGAAAAACCAGGCTGAACTGTGTGAAAATTGCTACATCGTCATTTACGTCACGACATAATCTAATTAGGCACCCCGTGGTTAAATCCGGAATTCCATGCACATTTTAGAAGTTAGCACCGTGGTCGATCAAGAAATCAATATAGTAAGCTAGCCTTGCATAGCTAACCACGGTAGATTGGTGTTTATCTCGCTTTCGTTGCAAATTCTCATACATTTCCAATGGCGGAATTGTTTACAATAACATTCCTTAGCTAGCGAAGGGCGTCTGTTTTTCTTTGCGTGTTCGAACACCTACAAGTGTTAAGAAAGTTCTGGGGTAAACTTGAGCTTCATTGTGGACTTGAAAGAGGACAATTCAATCATCTTTAACGGCAGGTCAAATGTTCTTTGCCGAAGACGTTGAAGTCGGGAAGCAATCTGATATTATTATGAATTCAACATACTCAAGCGTTTGTCAGTTGTCATGCAAGGTCGAAATATTTACAATCACAAAAACACATTGCACCGTTCACTTCTTGCGGTTTTTTGGGCCACGAGAATAACACTTTCAAAAAATTTGTTCATTAGGTATATATTGAATATGTTACCTTGAAAGAGTGTTTCACTTTAAAGCATAGATACAGCTGTGGGAGGACTCGACCCCACCCTGTTGAAAACCCATGTTAACTATTTTTAACGGAAAATCATTAGACTCAGTCGTTGGTAAAAGAAGACACTGTGGCACGATTATTATCAAACAGATGACATCGTTAGGTGGAGGGATTCTGAAAGTATTATGCTAGAAGAAAAAATGATGCGTTGATCAATTCAGAGCTTCAGCATCGCCTCCCTTCAGGAATTCTACCTTTTAGAACATAGCTAGCAGAACCGCACAATCAAATTCAATATACGAAAGCGTGCTCAAAATCCCGATATTGCACGCTGACAACGGCAGCAAATCGCTTCACCAGAAATTTATTTTTTCGCGCGAGCGGCCATTGTTAGCGCGGGGAAAAATAATATATTTCGCGACAATAATGGATACAAACAGAAACTCGGCCTACTAGTCCGAAAACGAAGACAATGTTTCGACCTTTTCCCTTGGGCTAGAGTTCTTAAATGAGGCAGAAAAAGAGAAAAACAAAGGAAAAGGAGACTCGGCATCAGCGCCGTCACGATTCGCTTCAACTGATATTGTTGTCCGTTTTTCGCGTCGGATTTGATGCACAATTCCACCGGCTATGTTCTAAAACAATTGGTTCATGCTTTCAGCTGTGCACTATCGAGTTATGGAGCACGTGGGAAGTTTGGAGAGCACTCAAGAAGCTAGAGTTGCCCTCGGCTATCGCCTCGGGCAACTCTTACGCTTCTTTCGTGCTCTCCAAACTTCCCGCGTGCTCCATAACTCGATAGTGCACGCTAAAGCATGAACCAATTGTTAAATATAATTTTTCTTTTGCACTCTGCGTGTTCAACCCATCAATGGGGTGTAAGGATGTTTTGAGTTTTATTACGGAATCAGAGCAGAAGCTTCGCTTCACTATAACTTTCCAAACCTCTTCAAGGCACAGCTCCGAGGACATCCTATGGAGCCTTACAAAAGACCTTCGAGTCAAAACAAAAGGATTGAAGAAATGTGGAAGTAGAATCCTGATATCTATCCAAATTTTCCCTCCCAAACTTTGTAGGGCCCAGTTATTTATGTGCCTCAGTGGCCAATCAAAACTGATGGGAGTCAGTATATAAGGCAGCTTTTAACAACATTAGGCCATGATTGTTCAAAGAACAATAAAGTTACTTACGTATGATGCACGATCCTACGATATATGAACTTCATATATTCATTNTTTAGCTGTATTGGGAAATATTGGCCCTCTGTATTTTTGCACGGACCTCGCTGCGCTCGCTCCATACTACCACGATTTTGGGCCAATAATCCTCAGTACGGCCCTCTCGCTTGGTTAGTAAGAAGTAATTATTTGCGGCAATTACTTATTTGTCTTCCTTTCCACAGCCCCCGTAATTAAAAAGGCTGACACATTAAGTCTCTGTAATCAAACCACAAATTTAATATAAAGAAAATCCGGAACAATGTGCCGCGCCATTTTGGCAGTTTGACTAGACTGTAGCATTTTGGAAATCTTCCTCGAAAGGCTAACATTATGACATAAGCATAATGTGATTTTATCTCGAGGCCCGTCATATATATAGTTAAGTATTTAGGTGTGCCTTTGCATGGGGCAAGGAGCGTTGTCAATCACAGATCTTAAGCCAATCAAATGAAGTCAGATCAAATAGCACCAAGGTTATAGGCAAGGTCAGTTTCTCTCTTGGTCCTTCTCGCCTTTATTCTCAGCGTGCCAGCATCCGAACACAGATATTCGGTACTGTAGAAGAATTTTCCCGCTCCCTCCCTTGCCCCAGCCTTCTCTTCAGGCTTTCGTTGCCTTTTTATACGTATTTGGCTCTTTGCCAATATTTAACCCCACCTTTGCTTAAGAGATCTAGATTGCGTGATGTTTATTATATCAATGTTCTTGATGTCCGGTAAAATAAAAGCGTCACTATTGTGGCCAATTTATCCCACATTAGCAGTTAATATTTTTATCTCCCGTCAATCTCGTCGGAAAACTAGCGCGACGTCACACAGAGCTTCGGTCCCGTTTTAGTAGAGACACGCGGGTTTCGTGATAAAATGATAATTTTTAACTATGAAAACCTGAAAAAATGGTTGGCTAGAAAATTGTTCTCAAAAATGCCTTACTAATTCTGCGATTAGGCCTGCGCGTTTTTCTTTTAGCGCGTCCGGATAACTCTTCTAGAATTCACGGCATCTTTGTGACCCTCTCCTTCATCCAACGCCTAAAAAACAGAGATGCTCGGAACTGGTGATCTTTTCTGATTGCTGGAAAGTGTGTTAAGAATTGGCGCTCGATCTAAAATTAAATCTATTTTGCCCTCAAAATCGGTGTTGCCGACTGTTTTTAGGTGTTCAGAAATGACTTTACGACACGACATTAGCTGAAATAGTATTAGCTGAAATATCAAAGACATCAAAAGAATTACCTTTTTCTCGACTTAGTTGTTTTAATTTGAGAACAGTTTCCAACCCAATCAATTTACGTGAGTTTTGTAACCTGAACTCTTAATTTGGGAAGAACTTTCTTGACTCAGCTAAGATTCTTTGTTTGTAGTAGTAATTTCAAATGGCAAATTGTTGATCATAGATTTATCCTCAAGTCTAGTTCTCCCTATCTATTTCATTCTGTTTCCAACTCCATGCTTGGTATTCTTCTCCTATCTAAATCATTTCGTACTTTGCCTGTGTTTCGCCTTTACCACAGAACTTTCTTAACACTTTTAGGTGCTCGAAAACGCAAAGAAAAACAGACGCCTTCTGCTAGCTTAATTAAGGAATGTATTATTGTAAACAATTCCACCATAGGAAATGGATGAGAATTTGCAACGAAAGCGAGATAAAAACCAATCTGCCGTGGTTAGCTATGCAAGGCTAGCTAATTGTATTGATTTCCTGGTCGACCACGATGTTAACTTCTAAAATGTGCTTGCAATTCCGGATATAACCACGGGGTACCTAATTAGATTATGTCGTGACGTAAATGATGATGTAGCGATTTTCATAAAGTTCAGCCTGGTTTTTCCGTGCGGGAATGAAAAGCCCCAAATTAATATTTATATCCTCGAAAACAACACAATTTCCACTTATCATGAGCTTAGCCTGAACCGATTTAAAAGTTTGCTACCAAATGCAATCTTTGGATTTTGAATTTCGCTCTGTACCATCCGGCGTCCTCCAGGGAACAAAATTAGGTCCCTGGTTATTTCTCATCATGATTAACGATTTAGACTCCCCAGCCGACTTGTGGAAATACGTGGACGACACATCTTGTTCCGAAATAATTACTAAGGGCAGTGAGAGCAAACTCCAAGAAGCTGTGGATGTCCTTTCAAGACAAGCTAGTATCGATGGGTTCCAAATGAATGAGGCCAAGTGCAAAGAACTACGAATTGGATTCTCTAACAGCAACCACGATTTTGAACCCCTAGTCATAAATGGCAAACCCCTTGAACTAGTCACCAGTGCCAAATTGCTAGGCGTGACCATTAGCCACGATTTAAAGTGGAACATGCACACCTCTGAACTAAGTAGAAAATGTTCCTCTCGTCTCTACTTTTTGAGACAACTCAAGAGATCCGGAGTTGCACCAAGCGAACTTGTGCAATTCTATGTGACATGTATTAGGCCCGTCTTGGAATACGCAAGTCCTGTATTCCACCGTTCTCTACCAAACTACATCAGTGAAGATTTGGAACGGATCCAAAGAAGGGCACTCAGAATCATCTATCCTAACCTGTCATATTGTGTAGCACTAGAAACGGCTGGCCTACCGAAACTTCACGAGAGGAGGGAAAAAATCTCAACCAACCTGTTTGACGAGATAGTCCGTAACCCCACCCATAGACTCCACAGCCTCCTCCCCCAAAGGAAGAGTTGTAGATACGCACTGAGGCGCAAAAGTGATTTCACTCTCCCCATATGCAAAACCGAGCGCTTGAAGAATAGTTTTATTTTTAGCCATATTTATAAGATGTAGATAATTTTCCTTCTTTCTTAACGACGAAGTTGTAATATTTTACACGTCCTTTTTATCATCTGTACTTGTAAATATTCCGTAATTCAGCCCATGGCTGCAAGGTGTTTATAATAAAGTATCTATCTATCTATCTATCTATCTATCTATCTATCTGAAATATTGGTGATTTTTAAAAGCGTTCTGTGATGTCAAAATTAAATGAAACGGTCCCGTTTTAGACTTAAGCCATACCTCAATCCCTCCTGTACAAATTTGTCGAATTGATACGAGCTTTCTTCCTTTTGTGCTTTTCATGAGTAAAGTTCATTTGCTTCTACTCGGGACACTGATTTCCACCATTTTACGGCTACCGACGCTCGTTTCAGATTCCATGAATTTTCTAGGATGAAGAACCAAGTCTGGAAAAAAAAAACCCTACCACGTTTCTAAGTTCACTATAAGGCATCTCTGACTGCAATATTAGGTCGATGTGCCACTGCTTACGCGGTCTTGAAAAAAGGTCGCTCTTAAGACTTTCAGAGAGCAGAAAACACATAATCAGAAAATGGTTAACGTTTACCTTCGTCGCAAGTGAAACCTTTGTATCCAACTGAACACACACAGCGGTAGCCCTTATCAGTAAAACCGCTTTGACATTTGGCGTCGTTCTTGCAAGGATTTATGATGCACGCACTCTGACATTTAAAAAGCGATGATAACAATGATAAAAATGAAATTGATGTGTGATGTAATGTGATAATATATGAAATATAACAACAATGACAATGATAACGATAATATTTATGAAATTATTAATGACTGTGATGGTGATGATAATGACGATGATAATGCTGATGATAAACATAATAATTATCACACCTATTGACGAAGTTATGTAATTTTTGATTAGCGTGTAGTTGTAGTAAAGACAACCATTAATTTAATTCTGGAGATAATAACAAAATAATTTGTTTCTTAACCCATTTCTCGTCTCAAGGGAATTTCTTTTGTAAATTCTGCATACATATGCACGTAAATAACGGGGGATTTAGAGGAAAAAGTTCTCTAGTCGATGACCAAGCTAAGACAGACAAAACATAAAAGCTGAAGAGGACAATCACCTGCAACCTGATTTTCGCAACAGAAAAAGCTTATAACTGTGGCAAATGCCAATTCAAGCAAAAACGTAAAAGGAAGAAGAAAAGATACGATTACTAATCCTCAATTTTGCCTCTTTGATCATCAGTTAATAAAAAATTAAGAAAAGTCTGGAATTGGCACATGCCTCTGCTCCTCCATAAATGTAACTTTGATCCTTGACCAGGTCGTCTTTGTTTCCCTCGTGAGTAAAGTTATTCAGCTCACATGTATACGTCCCATCAGCTTCACTTACTTGTTTTCCAAGATTATAGCTGACACAATCTGGCTCCATATAACAAAGTATCCCACAAAATTCTTTCTCCTTGACGTAATCAACTCTTATCACGTGCCTTTTTAAGCGTTGACCATCAAATGCTTTGGCAGGCTTGAATACCAAATAGCGGCATTCTCCTGGGTCTGAGTGATTTGTACAAAAATTAAAGTGACGTGCTCATCATCATTATAAATTGGAAAACTTATCAGCATGACGTTCCGGTATAAACTAAAAAAAAACCCTTTATTCTCGCTCTGTCTTAACAGAATTAAAATTCCTAAGAAATGCGCCAAAAAGTTTGACATTTTGATCTACGAACTGCTTTTTAATCAGGATCGACTTGATTTATGCCGAACTCTTCACCTGACATTAAATTACAATTTCGCCCATGCAAATAACATCGAAGGGCCCAAAAATACTCTCTCTATTGTTTTATTACCTTGTGTGCTTTACTTTGTCATTTTCATTCGCAACTTGATAACGAAGTGAAGCAAAGTCGAAACGTCGTCAAAATATTTCACTAAGTTTGTAAAAATCTTTCCAAGCTTTATGTATCCTAATAATGTTCAAGCGTTAAAAAAAGAATCACCTTGAAACACCTATTGTAATGACAGCCATACAATATTTATCGTGTCTTAACCAGGCCTACAGATGTTTAACCCTAAAAAAATAAAGTTTTTTTTTCTTTCCTCGACATAAAAAAAAGAGCCCTAACCCCTTTCAAGCAGAATCGAATCCAAATCACCAAAGACTTATGTGCACACTGAAATAAAATGATGTCAAATTTTTAGCGCGGTCAATAAATGAATTAAAGTAATTTGTTATTTCTTTTTTTAAAGGTAATAAATTCCTCACTGAGCATCCTGATCTAGAGCGGAGATATGTATCTCTTAGAAGTGTCAGTTTTTCATTGACAAGAAAATAGTGGAGGTCAAACCTCATTACAAACTTTTCCGTGTATGCTTTTGTCGTTCTTACTCGAATTTTTAACCAAACAACTTCCTATTTTGAAAGATAAACGTTGCGTTATAATTAGCATAATTCTCCTCCTATTTCTTCTTCACCTTTTTTTTCTTTTTCTTTTTCTAAGGACGGGAGTACAACATCTAACCTCAACTTCTCTCTCTAGCCCTATAGATTCACGCGCCCTCGATGGCTCGATTATGGTTTATAAAACGTAATTGATATGTTATTTGTGATGATTTCACAGAGACAGCCAAACTATGCTTAGCCCTAAGTTCTAACCTAGATAACCTGAATTCACTGGTGTTTTTTCAGAGATATTTTTCCTCATGTCATAAAACTGCTGCGAAATCGCTTAAGATAATGAGGTTTGAAAACTTGTTGTTGGCATACTCTTTTCTTGCCCTCGTGCCAGACTGTTACCATGCGTATATATGAGATTGTTGACATCTTTTCGGCTCTTTTAGTTAAAGATGATAAGCTCGTGAGATGAACTCATTATTCTCAATGTAACATCATTATGACGACGGGCGCATTCATAAAAGCTTAACATCTATTCTTAGGTAAAAGAGAAGAAAAAATTTGGAGATTTTTCTTTTCAGCTACACCACCGGGGCTTTTCCTTTGGAAGTTCGAGGAGAGCAGCCCAGTTTGGTATGTTGAATATGCCTAAAATCATCTCCTATTTGTAGGATGAAGAACTTTGTTTGAGTAAAATTTCCTAAATTTTGCAATGAAGTTCACAAGAAATATCAGACCAGTTCGCCACTAAACCAAAACTGATATAGCTGATATATTCACCACCTCTCCAAATCATGACACGTAGCAAAGTGAAGTAGGCGAGTTTCGGACCAAATTTAAGTTACTTACCTACTGAAGAGACGAAACTAGTCCGTACAGAGCAAAATAAAAGCAAAATGTAACAAATGTGAAAGGAATACATGACCTATAGCCACTGCATGCAGGACTTTGAAGCTTTCGTTGCTGAAAGCTCATCGGCGATTAACGCAACGCACTGGAAGTTATGTCATTGTGAATTATATTTGTTTACTTAGCCGGGCGGAAAAACCCGCAGGTGTCTTTCTCTTGGGGCATAAATTCTTAATGATGAAAAACGGAAAATAAATTAAAACTATCTCTTCAAGTTAAAATCGCTGGGTTCGACAAGATTTTGAAGTTCATTTCCCTTACTCAAGTTTAGACTGTAAAGGGCACGCGGAGTGATTCAGTCTGAATAAAGCATGTTTGCTGTGGACTGATTTTCATCTTAACTATACTTGAAAAATTTTGGTCTCACTCTGTTCTTGTTTACACAACGAATAAAAACGTTGATTACCCTCCCTGTTATAGCTGTTTCATTTATACTGATTTACGTCATCTAGCTGTGTGGTGATGAAGTATTCAAAGAAGTCATTCATAATACACGAACACAAGTCTATTTAAAAATCAACATTATAAACTCCACGTTTTTCCTAAAAAAAGCTATCGATATCGGAAGGAGCTAGATGATGACTCTTTTTCATCTCATGTTAATTCTTTCTGGAGAGTAGTATGAGCCGGTCTTTACGTAACGTCATCAGAATTAAAAAGATAAGAAATTGTCCATCTTTTTGAGATTTTAGTTTATTTAGTTATTAAAACTGCTGAAGACTTATATTTTTTACAAGCTCTCAGTTTGACAGAATGTGTTTCGTCTTGTGTTAAAACAAGATTGAATCTCTAAGCTTTTGCGTGTGACGATTTGAAAATATGGAATGGCCGACAATGTTCTCGCATGGTTTCGTACAAAACTCCCTTATCCGCTGAGATTTCGCAATCTGAACAGTCCTTATATGAGAATGGGTACATGTAGATGTTTATGAGCTCTTACAAGACGACTAAAAGCTCTGCATTGCAGAACTATATGGCATATGTTTTTGTTAGCCTCCCGCCACCATATTTGTGCCCCGCTGAGGGACGCAAATGTAGCGTCTCCATATAAACCTCTATAAATTTGAATAAAACGTTCTTTGAGGCTCCCGCACAAAACATCGCCTGAATCTTTGCGAGACTATTTAAATAGTCATGTTCTCTTATCTCTTTGATTCTTGACTTTATTTGTTAAATGATTTTGATGTTGGTGCGACAGTGAAAACCGGCAACTTTGCGGCTAATGGTTAACATCTTTCCAATGCCGTCACCAGAATATTTTTGCTGGTGAGCCCTAGCGAGGCAGTGGGCTATTCTTTAAAATAGCGAGAAAAAGCCACACTTTTTCAGATGTAATAGGGGAGACATGCGCACTCGATTTCGTTTTTTATATCCGGGGTGTTTGTGATGACATGACGTTTTTTCTTTTTTTGTTTTTGTTTTTTTTGTTTTTGTTTTTTGTTTTTTGTAGTTTTTAGGAGAGTTTTATTCATAGGGTTAACCTCTTGACTCTTCCTTTCAAATTTATGTAGTTATATATGAGTTTGAATAAACATGTATATAAAATGCACTTGGAAATATCTATCGATTTCGAGCAATAGCTGTGTACAACCGTCCCGCTTTGCGAGAAATCAAGAACACGATAAACGAGATCAGTTCTGATCTTAGAATAGATGTCTTTAACTGCTCATGGAAGTATCCATCAAGGTCATGAACAGTTTAGTGATGACTCTCGAGGAAAACAAGATATCTTTGTCAGTTTGGCTTCACTATTATGTGAACAATTTTCGCCGATTCACGAATGGAGGTGCCAAGATATCGATCAAGTCCTACTTCATGGAGGTCATTTCGTTTTCTCGGTGCATTCAACAGCGGTGAAGTGTTAGGCAAAAATGCTTCCATTCGGAGTAAACTGCCGGCTGCAGCTTGCTGGTCTCGGGAGAAAAGAGAGGCAAGTGTGAAGCCAAACTGCTTTATGTCGAAAGCGACTTCGGTACTACATCCAAATCATTCACAGCATTCTTCGCCCATTGAGGCGTTAAATTTGATTGTTGAGTCAAAATCTCTGCCCGTTGAGATAAACAATTCAACCACTGAGTTACATTTGCCCGTTGAGGCGAAGGAAAAGCTTGCAATCATAGATTCAAAATGTGGATCGCTCGTTGAAGCTACTATTCAACAAAATGGGGATCGCTCGTTGAAGCTAACCATTCAACTTTAAACACCAATGACTGTTTGGGCTTTGAGACAAATTCGGAGTCGATTTTATCTGTCGAGTCCAATTGTTTATCAACCTTTGAGTCAAAAGAAATCTTCTCGAGCACAACATTAAGTTGTCGTTTGCTGTTGTTTCACAAAAGCTCTTTAAAACTAAACTAGTTGGAAAAATCGTAATTCTCTTTTAAAAAGCCACATCAACCCTATTATACCGTTTATTTCAAAATCGTATGATCAGCATTTCCTTCAAGCTCCGACGCCAGCACCCACTTTTACCGACATTGAAACTGCTAGTTTACTGTTATAATAATAATGATAATGATGACACAGTAAACATACAATGAACGGCTAATATGTCGACTTTCGCTCTCTCTCAAAATATATCATTTCAGATATCTTTCTTTACGAATCTTCGAAAATCATACGACAACGCAACATTTTTACCTTAGTTTGTTTTAAATGATTTAAGCCATTGTCACCTGTGATAGTCTAAGTGAGAGTAGTCCTAAGAAGGACATCAGTCGGCAGCAGTTGTTTTAGTAGTGGTCACTACCCGACTGACATCAGTCCTTCTTAGGACTTCACTCACCTGAATGATCAGACTACATCATCAGATTATTAGCTTAAAACAAAAACAGAAACAAACAAATGTTAAAAAGAAACAAATGTGTTGACCGTTACTTATCGTGTTCCAAATTGCACTTTAATGACCTTGTCCACAGATATATACGGGTGCAGGTGCAGATATGGTAATTACATGTATTGTGGTTGGTGGGTGTGAATAACGAAGGTGCACGTGTTGAGGTGCTAATTACAATAGTTGTGCAATAAATGAAATAACAAGACAAACAAAGATGAAGATGAAGTCAACAAATTCGAACATACCTTTTTCACCATATTCTCCAGCTTGATCACAATAAAATTTAAAGGCAAACACTGAGTTCATCGATTGAACGCAAACTCCTCCGTTTTGAAATGACAAGAAATGATAAGACGACTGATACAAAAACCAGACGAATTTTTTTTGATAGATGATATAAAGCGAAAAAATAGCTCATCGCATGAATAAACCTTACCTTAATGAAATAATGATTGTAATTCTTGTTTTGCTTGTACTCCTTGGGTTTGCTGTACTTATCAGACGGTAATAATTCACACCACAGTTTTCCTTCGATGGCCAAGTTAACAGAAATGCATAATGGGTGGTAGAGGCATTTGAAAATACACTCAAAGTCGTCGTAAACCGCCGATACTCCAATATGAGGAACATTCAAGTAATGAAACTCTTCCATTGAGAACAGTCCCTGTCGGGAATTCTGACATGAAGCTTTATCTATGTTCGTGGGTTTCAATTCTTCTGTTGCTATTGATTTAGATAAATCATGTGTCATGGCAATTTTTTAGGAGTACTTTTACTCAGATTAATGTTTCTGATGAGTTTTTTCAAAGAATATAGATGGAAATTGAGAAAGATGCAATTAAATAATGGCATCATTCGGCTGAGACACACGGTTCCTTTCTACTTTAAAAAAATGTATATCTAAAATGATTGGTTTCTTCAAAAAGACAATTTTTTTGTTGTATTTTGGTAAAGTTGGGGAAAAGATGCGACTTAGAGCAAAAAATGGCGTGATTTTTTAATAAATCGCACCTATGAGAGCCAATCAGCTTACAACTGCAGATCACCAGTGATATCAAAATGTACTTAATAAACGTGGTAAACTGTGTATAAAGGTACACACATTGGTTTATAAGGTCGCTGCTGCCACAGAAAATGAATACGGAGAAGAAATTCAGAGCTTAACTTTAGAAGAAAGTCTCACTCTTAGGATCTCTAGTTTCCATTCTTGAATTAACTCCGTAAACCACGATAAAATACATTTAACCTTAATATCAATTTTCTTTCGCTGAGGCCATTATGCCCTGTTTCGCTGCCGCTGTCCTACTGGCCGAAATTTCTTTAATCAAAATACCTTTTATTACAGAATCTTCATTTCTGTTTTATTACCTAGATAATGCCAATCAAAACTGATGAAGGTTTGTTTGATCTTGTATATTTCTCTTTACTTTAAAAAGGTCAAACGCGTCAGTTGCACATGATAATTTTTCTCAGTTTTTAAATACGTCAAAACTTTTGATATCAGGTTAATTTGTAATGAAATTTTACCAATACCAATGTTCTTAGCTTCACATCCGCGGAGATCACTTTAATCTATAATTAAATTTGACTTCAAGTTCTTTTTGAAACCTTTATATTATCTGATAACCTTCTATTTCAATAGATGAGACACCATCCTCGCGATCTTTGCTTATATTGCCTTTAGAAACTAGGACCTTCACTTGACTTACTAACCTTTAGACCTGACAGCACCGAGTATCATCAAGAATATACAGCAGATCCAAAGGATAGACATGTTGTAGCATGGGTCAGAGAGATCTCTGTGCAGTTGTACAGTACGGTGGAAATTGAACGTGCCTGAACTTGTTACACCGTTTTACCGTATCCTTTTATCCTTTCAGTCAATGCTTCCGACACCGCTATGTATCAATTTTCATAAAACAATAACCTTTCTTCAAGATGTTTAGCGAATATATGAAAAAAAAATTAATGTTTCGGAAATTATCCAAACAAAAGGACAACTTATCCAATGAAACACTATCGCATATCCTTGGCTATATCGAAGATTCCTTTTGATCAACCATATGATCGTTTCCATATCGCCTTAAAAACTCTTGTGACGGAGTAATATGTACGTCAAACCCCTCGTAGCTTGGCAAAATAGAACGAAACTCCTTTCTCTAATTCAACGGTTATACTCAACAAAGAACGCACAAAATATACATGGAAAGAAAAAAGAAAATTAAATT